TGCATCTGTATTTCTGCATTTGTGACTTGGACATGGCATACTTGTCAATGTTCAAACTCCACACATGCATCAAACATTTTTTGAATACAATTAAATAATTAAAGGAAGCAGTTTGGTCTGATAAATATACCGTAACGGTAATATATAAATGATAGTAGGTAATTAATATAACCAGACATTTTAGGCAATAGCCTTTACACTGAAGAAGAACCATTACTTGAAATGTGTGGTTATATTGAATAACTGCCCAAACTACATAATACCATTCTTTGCATTATGCACATATTTGTTTTTGTATTCAATTTAAGATGGCCAAAAACGTGATCAGCTTAGTTCTAAAAATATATCAAAATCTGGCATATCTGTATTTCATAAACAAATTTTTTGTTATGCATGGACAGATTTTCTTTAAACTTTGTGCAAACATTGAATATAGCACATGAATTTGCAGGTTAGATTATGTTGTAGCCATTTTGTTATAACAATTGCAGTTCTATATCCATGTCTCTAACATCATGTTTTTGACCCATGTGCTTTATGCATTTATTTTAAAATGCATGGAAATCAGAAATATCATAAATGTATTTTAGGCAATAATAAACAAATTTTTTTCGTTCAAACTTGGTACATTTTACAGATTAGATTCAAAGTGGCTGACTGGTGGACATTTTGTTTTAACAAGTTCCATAACTCTGACGTGCCTTGACCACTCATGCGTAACTTCACACATATGTTAAACACATATACACATGCAATTTGTTTCAGGATTTGATTTAACATGAACGAATTGCATCCATTTTAGTGCTAAAATGCAACAAAATCAAGCATTTCTGCCATTCCAGGACCAAATATTTGTCATGCATGGACAGATTTTATTTAAAACTTGGTATATGCATCAAAACATGTCGACTCTTCATCCATTTTTGTTTACAAATCACATTCAAATAGATAACTGGCAGCCATGTTTATTAAATAATGTAGCTCTGGATCTATACATGTGTATCTGAGGCATACATTGAATGATTGCAATCAATTTTACAAATATGTGTGTACTAACAACGTCATACACATTTACAGGCATTCATGTTTTGTTTTGAAATAATTTGTTTCAGTTTTGTATACTATTAATTATGATTTATTTTTTAATTTCTCTAAAATCTGGTAAATTTAACAACTACAAAATATTAAATGATGTATTTGCTTATGACTTACATCTCTATCTGCAGTGCTGGTATTGGTCGAACCGGATCATTTATATCCATTGATTCTATGCTGAAAATGGCCAATGCTGAGGGATGTATTGATGTCTTCAACTTTGTGAAAAGAGGAAGAGAAAACAGAATGAACTTTGTTCAAACAGCAGTAAGTTTTCTCAATGTGTGTAATAGTGATCATAATTACTGTCACAATGTTTCACTATCTGTCGCTACAATTACCATGTTGTCAATATATCTTAAGCATTTAAAGCGAAAGGGTCGTCACCTGCGCACGTAAGGAAATTGAGTCCCAAGCGACGATATCAACACACTAAAAACGCAAAGGCTCATGGGTGGACGCTTGTTTGTAAATAATGACACACTATGGCCATCTGACGCATGCGCAGATGACGACTCCTCTGCTTTAATATATGATATGTTTATAACATATGACTAACTGTGCAAAAAAATTTTGGATGAAAAATTGCATAATATAATTTTGGCAATATTACCAGTGTTACAACATTATATATTGTGGTCTTCATAGTCTGCCTTTTAGTCTCAATTCTATTTAAATTAGCAAACCACTAGCAGGTACTAGAATACAGTGGTTTTGAATATTGTGTTTTGATTCCCATATGTGAAATGAGTAGAATTTGTGTATAAGCTCATTTTAGGTGTATATGATACAAGTATCAACTGTCATATGATGTATTAGTGTTTGGCACAGCATGGTGCATGGCAATTTTATATTCGTAATGTTGTGTTCTTGAAATGTATAACACTCAGTAATTTTGCATTCACAATGAAGTTCAGACTTTTATGGATACCTATATTTACATATACTGCTTGCAAAGCTTACAGATTATACTAAAAACCATTAAATATAAAACCTATTTTAACAGCATAATTCTCTGACACTATTCTTTTTAATGATTTCTTTCTCTTCTTGCAAATAATGCAGTAATTAGTATTCTGCTTTACTTACTGCTTTGTATCATTTTATTTTACTGACTTGAGTGGACAGTTGTTGCTATATGGACCTTAGTAATGCCTACAATCATCTAATTGAGATCAGATCAGGTATTTCGCTTTATATGTGCTAACTATTGACTGTAAACTGTTTGTGTTTGGCTAGTTGTCATGTGTGTAAATTCATACAAGGTAGAGCTCATATTCTACATGTTGGTATAGGCTTTGAGTTACTAATACATATTCCAGTATATGTGCTCATAAACTGATGGCTCTAATTACTTACATCTTA